GGAGGCAGGCTGTGGATGCAGTCTGGATCTGGAGGCAGGCTGTGGACGCAGTCCGGATCTGGAGGCAGGCTGTGGATGCAGTCCGGATCTAGAGGCAGGCTGTGGACGCAGTCCGGATCTGGAGGCAGGCTGTGGACGCAGTCCGGATCTGGAGGCAGGCTGTGGACGTAGTCCGGATCTGGAGGCAGGCTGTGGACGCAGTCCGGATCTGGAGGCAGGCTGTGGACGCAGTCCGGATCTGGAGGCAGGCTGTGGATGCAGTCCGGATCTGGAGGCAGGCTGTGGACGCAGTCCGGATCTGGAGGCAGGCTGTGGGCGCATTCTAGAGTTCCATGACTGGGGCCTGATGCTCTGACTGTGATGTTTGTGCACTTCTCTGCTACCTCCTTTTTGTTAGTTGGGTCAAGATGTCGGTAGAAAAAGCTAAAAATAGGTCTACTGTATAATCCACCTATACCATCCTTTGGCATATGCCTAAAGATATCCTACTACAGAGATACCTGCTCATCCATTTTTATCGCTGCTCTATTTACAGTAGCCAGGAAGTAGAAACAGCATAGATGTCCATCAACTGATGAATGGATAATGAAATTATTCATCTGTTAAGCAAAATGAAATTATGAAATTCACAGATAAATGAATGGAGCTGGAAATAACCATTAAGAAAGAGGCAGCCTAGATCCAGTAAGACAAATGTCATATGACTTTGAATCTTCATATATGTATGTTTCCTTTGGAATCCCTATTGAGTTTAGGAAATCAGTAAGGGGCCATGGGGAAGGGGCGTTCAAGGAAAGGTAGATAAATATAATGGTGTCAGGGTGAAGAGGGAATAATCGAACAGGAAGAGTTGAATGAGAGGGTGGGGTAAAGGAGAGAATACGAAGGGGGACAGCTAGCAGCAAAGACTTAAAACATCCTATGGAAATATACTACTGTAGAAATACATGTATGTTATACTATAATAGAGCAACAACACCCCTACTAGATATTGCAGACTAACAAATAAAAATCATGGTGCCATAAATGGATTACATTTCAGGAGTTTTTGGTTCCTGAGGTCCCATAAACCCCCAAATCTTACAGATTATTGCTCATGCTCTTGGTTATTCCCCAGGACATGACCACAGAACACGGAGAAATCAAGCAGTTACTTGCCTTGAAGCTTTGTCCTTACTGGATGCCCTTCATGGTTCTGGGGGGTGCTGTGCCTGTGACGAGAAGAGCAAAGTAATCATCTATCCATCCATGAGCCTGACAACCTAAATTTGATTCCTCATGGGGAAAGAGAGAACCAACTCCAGAAAGTTGCCTTCTGATCTCTTTATGCATGTGCACACATGCACAAGGACTCACACGGACTTAGACACAGATGCACACGGATGGATAATAGATGTATAAATAAATATATACACACATATACATGTATTTACACGCAAGTAAATAACAAAGGAAAGAAATGGTATTTCTGGAAAGATGGCTTAGCAGTTAAGAGCTCTGGCTGCTGTTCTAGAGGGACCCAGGTTCAATAAGTCTCCACCATCTATAACGTCAGTTCCAGGGTATGTTACCCTCCTTTGACCTCTGTGGATGCCAGCCATGCATTAAAGTACATAGACATATATGTAGGCAAGTCATAAGATAACATAATTCTTAAAAGGAAAATTGAATTATACCTGTGATTTCTAATCTGGTCTGACATTTTCAAATGGGTATGATGGCACATTACTTTTCTTCTCTTGGAGTTCCCTGGTTTTGACCTGGCTCTACTTCCCCTTTAAAATCCTTATAAATTAAAATAGCGATGGGAACAAAGTATAGAGTAGAGATGTAAAGCCGCAAATACTTTTCCAGTTTCTTTTTGTTTTGTGTCTGTTTTTAACATTAGAGGATTTGGATATGTCTTTCTCCAGCTCAAATTTAAATATTAATTCACATTGTCTTTGTGGATATTTGTTTTTTCCAATATACCTTTAAATAGTATAGAATTAATTTTGTCCAATATCTAAAGGTTTTAATGGTTTGCCAACTTAATCCCATTTTCTGGTTATTGCTAGCATATAGAAATCCAATAATTTTTTTGTTTGTTTTTCGAGACAGGGTTTCTCTGTATTGTTTGGAAGCTCTTCTGGAACTCACTCTGTAGACCAGGCTGGCCTCGAACTAACAGAGATCCGCCTGCCTCTGCCTCCCGAGTGCTGGGATTAAACGCGTGCGCCACCAACGCCCGAAATCCAATAATTTTTATGAGCGTGTTTTGAAATTGTCAGTCTTTCCCAAATTCTTATTCTAATATTAGATGCTGCTGTTTGATGTACTTTTCTTTCTGCTGCTTATACCTCTTACTGTTCTTTTATGTCTTTGGCTCCAAATTTAAGGACTCACTAGATGACAGGGTAGCAATTTTGATTTTTTCTTTAGACTGAAATTAATATAGTTCTACTTACTCTCGTTTCTTGAGAGAATATCTCATTTGCAACACAAACTGCCCTTTATATCCCATGTAGCCCAAGCTGCCCTTGAACTCATGACCCTCCATGTCTTCATCGCTACTGTTACAAACATGCACCAGCACACTTAGGTCGCCTAGCACTTCAGTGTTTGTTTTTGCTCTGTGTACAGAGAAATAGATTTCACTGAGGTGGCTTTGTGCCAGTGTTCATTCTTAATCAGCGCTGCTTGCCCAGTCCCCCTCCCCTCCTCCTCTCTTTCATCCCCTTCCTCTGGCTAATCGTCTGTCTCCATGATACGTATTTCACCACCCTCTGGTCCCCCACCCCCTCCTTGAGATCTCATTCTCATTCTTTCAGTCCCCTTTACCTCTCACGTTGTCTGCCTGTGTGTCAGTTTGAATTCGGATTCTGCGTATAGAAGAATACACGTCTATGTTTCTTTATCCTTTCATCTGAGGATGGGTGTCTAGGTTATTATGAATATGTGGCAGGAAATGTGGGGGTGGAAGCATCTCTGTGTTGTGTTAACTTACTATCCTCTGGGCACATGCCCAGGGGTAGTATGGCTGCCTTGTGTGGTAGTTCTATTTTTGTTTTCGGAAGAACCGTCACATTAATTTTCATAGTGGCTATAAATAAGGTTTATATTCCTGCCAGCAATGACTAATGACTCTTTTACCACATCCTGCCCAGCATTTGTTACCGTTTCCCCCACACCCTTTTTTTGACAGGGTTTCTAGGTGTAGCTTTGGAGCCTGTTCTGGATCACTCTGTAGACCAGGCTGGCCTCGAACTCACAGAGATCTGTCTGCCTCTGCCTCCCAAGTGCTGGGATTAAAGGTGTTCACCACCACCATCTGCTACCATTTTATTTCTTAATGATACCCATCTCATTGGGGTGAGGTAGACTCTCCAAGCAATTTGCATGATGGCTAAGGATAACATTTTGTTGTTGTTTCTTTTCTTTAAATATTTCTTGACCATTTGTATTTCTTCCTTTAATAACTGTTCCATTCCTAAGCATATTTAATTGATCACATTCTTATGTAATCTAGATACTAATTCCCTGTTGGATGTAGAGCTGGCCAAGGTTTTCTCCCATTCAGTAGATTGTTTCTTCACTGTTCAGAAGACTTTTTATTTCCTATAACCCCCTTTATCAATTCTCGTGGTTATTTCTATTACTGGAGTCTTTTCAGGGAGTCCTGGCTTATGCCTGCTTCCTGAACCATTTTTCTACATTTTCCTCCAACAATTTCAGGGTTAACTGGTACACCAAAGTCCTTGATCTATTTTGAATGAATTTTTACTAGGTGAGTGGATCTTTCACTCCTTTGCATTTATATAGCCAGTTTTCCTAGTCCATTTTCCTTCCCAAATCCTTGTTGGAAAACTGAATCTTGGGATGGAGAAAACGAGAAGTCACTGTGGAGAGTTTACATCCTCCCCTGTGGTCACTTGAGGAGGGTGTGCTGGAGATGTGAGAACAATTCAGTGCAGAGCCTGAGCCTCACTTGCTTACCAAGTCCTCTGGAGTTGTGCCAAACTCCCATCACACAACTCCCTCGACTTTGATGATCACTTGAAAGTGCATACCCCCTCTACCACTACAGCTCCCAGAACAACATCTACCTGACATGCCATTCTGCTGACCTGGAGGGATACTACAAACCCTGTCATGCTGCTTCACTCATAGTATGTAGACTTCCTGACAAGGGAGGCAGAATGATAAGTGTTATTCCACTAAGCACATCACAAGATCCTGCTGGGTCTTCAGGTCAGCAAATACCCAAAGACAAAGACTGTGTTCGATGGAGAAAAAGTTGGACAAGATATGTCCTGTCTGCCTAAGGATCCAGGTGCCTGTGAATGTGTCTTGAACATCTGCTTCCTCACCAACAGCCTGTGTCCAAGCCTTACCTCCCTGAGATGCCCACCCCCTCCTGAGATGCCTACCTCCCTCCTAAGACACCCACATTTCCCCTGTGATACCCATCACCATCCCTAAGCTACCCACCCCCCTCCCGAGATACCCACCTCCCTGCCTCTTCACCTCTGTCTCTCTTTCTATATTTTCACTTTGTGTGCACACTCTTGGTTGTGTCTTGATTGGGTATGTCAAGGGATGTAAAAAGAATGCAGAGCATTATATTCTTACAGCTCTAAGTATAGTTGAACTGAATTACTCCTTTTCATTTTTATGATGGAGCCCAAAACTTAAAATACTTTATTCTGTAATTTATCTGAATTTATCTTTACTTGAGGCATTTTATTTCATTAAATAATTATTAAGAACATTCATTTTAAAACACTGACTATATAGTAAATTGTCAGACTTTTCATTTGGGGAATATCTGCAATTATGATCAAATGGAGGGACAGAGGGTCAGAGTGGGGGGAGGAGAGAAGTAAGATTGTAACTGAAATGTTTTTTTCTTACGTGTGAGTCTGAATCTGTGATATGTTCTCCTTAGACAATTTCTGTTCTAACTGTCCTCTTGTTTCCTTTTCACTGCGTGCACACATGGTGGGCTCTGGAAACCTCAGGATGAAGTTTTAACTGTGATCCGGAGAGTGGACGATAACTGGGCAGAAGGCATGCTGGGAGACAAGGTCGGCATTTTCCCACTCTTGTATGTGGAGGTAAGCTTTCTAACACACCTGTGTGCCATTGTTTGATTCACCAGGATGCGGGGGCTTGACCTCGGGTAAAGGGAGATTCCTCCCCAAGCGTGTAATGCCTGCTGCTTCCTGGAGGCATCTCCTAGACTGTCCCAGTGTGTGAGGGTTCCTCTGGCCACTCTCAGCAGGTCCTCCCAGACCTGGCTGCTATCTTTGGTTCTCAGAGCAATTCCTTTCAAATGTGGGGCTGCAGAGATGGCTCAGTGGTCAATAGCACTGACTGACCTTCCAGGGGATAGGTTCCATTCCCAGCACCCCTATGGCAGCACACAACCATCCGAAATTCCAATTCTAAGAAATCCAGTGCCGCCTTCTGGCCTACGCAGGTACCGGGTACAATGTGATACACAAGCATACCACAGGCAAAACATCCATCCAGAAAAGACTGTGTTACCCAGTACCCGCATTCACCATACCATCTATTGCTCTGGGGCCTTAACTCCATGAACCCTTTAGGTTAGATCATGACATCTAGAGGACCAGAAATTCACTGCCTTCCATCTGGAAGACCTACCTGATATTTGAACTTAGTTTCTGGGAAGAAGGCTAGGGTGTGGCTTTGTCTGCATCTCCAACAGAAGACATAGTTTGGTGTGCTGCTTGTCCCCTAATGTTCATGAAGACATTGACCATACACCACAGGCATTTCTTAACCCACATTCATATGAGATAATAAAGGATCTCCTGGGCAACCATCTGGGAACTGATGCATGGTACAGCAACTGCAGGTGTTAGGGCAAGTATCTGGCTAGAGCCTTGCCAGCTCACCAAGGAACTCATGTCCAGCCTCAGCTTCCTATCTATGTGGATACAGACAATAATATTGAGCTCATGTTGGGCGGTAAGTGAAAAATAGCATTTATGACAAGCAACACTGTGTTCTTCGGCTCTGGCTGGCTCTTATCTAGGCTGGCCATGTGACTGGAGCCAGCCTGACCTTGGCTTCTGGACAGCCCTACTCTGAGAAGATAGACCCCGTCTCCAGGAATGGCCGTAACTCCTTGTGCACCATAGAACTAACTGCCTTGCTACTCTCCCTGTAATCCTCACACGTTAGCTGCCCCAGGCCAGCCTCTGTCCTTACCCAAGACTTTTCCTCATGTCCTTCCCAGCTCCTTGGCCTGCTGCCTCAGTCATCCATAGCCCCAGATCCCAGCACTAACACTAACTCTGAAGGTTGTAGCCCTTTAGGGGGTTGGAAGACCCTTTCACAGGACGTGCCTAAGACCATTGGAACTCAGATATTTACATTGCAGTTCATAACGGTAGCAAAATTACAGTTATGCAGTAGCAACAAGATAGTTTTATGGTTGGGGGTCACCACGACCTGAAGAACTGTATTAAACTGTGTGTTGGGGGTCACAGCGCTAGGAAAGTTGAGAACCACTGCCCATCAGTGCTATGAACCTTTCACCAGCCATCTCCTGAGACCTAGGGCACCTTCTTGGCCATCAGATGACTGGGCAATGTCCACTTGCTGGGATATATAGAAAGGAGAATCCTGTGCTCCTCACCATAAAGAACAACAATGATGGAGACCCAGGGGGAGGGGCAAGAATCAAGCCAATGTTCAACCTTCCCTGTTGGCTTTACGGAACGCTGTAACGATACGCGACACACAATTACGGAAAGTGAAGCTAAGTATTTAATGTAGAAAATTACTCACAAGATACCAAACCCCGAGAAGCCCAGCAGATCTCAGCTAGCGACTGGACCGGAAGCCGAACTCCAGGAAAAGAGAGCGAGACTTCCTGTGCGCTGTCTTTTATGCCTTCCCCCCGTAACGCCCCTAGCATTGCCCAAAAGTGGGCTTGGCTAGTGACGTAGTTCCGCCTACGTATGTATACGTCTTTACGTCCAGCCGTATACGTCTTTAGTCCTGCCTAAAGTGGGTGTGGTTAGCGGTGTGGTAAACCGCCCTTTTATTACCTCATCTGTATGCGCCTCTAGTAAGTCACATGTTTAATGGCGGCATAGACTTAGTAAGTCACATGTTTAATGGCGGCATCAGACTTCCTCCTACACTTCCCGGTCCTTATTCCAGGAGAAAGTAGTTTGTGCTTCTGTTAACAGAAGTAAAATGATCTGCCTAAGGGAATCCCTCCTCTCCCAGTCAAGAGTTCAGGGATGGTTTGAATGGGCCACAGGATTGCTTTTGAATGGCTCTAGCCCTGCCTTGTAGCATGAGCACCCACCTGAAGACCTCAATCCAGGACAGTCTCTTCTCATGGGGCTCCAAACTAGTGTGGACACAGTCAGCCCTCAGCACAGCTCTCATCTAGCTAAGGCACGTTAGAGACACCATGGCTTTATACATGGACCCATATGGGCACATCTCCCATTCTTAACCTCTGCATTAGATGTGTGGCCTGTGACCAACTTTGTCACCTTTATGAGACTCAGCAACTCACGCCTTCCAGAGGCTAGAGGCTTAGACCACCCCCCCTCCTGGTGCATTTTTTCAGTGGTGTTCTCTAGGTGGTGAGAGAGATTGAAGAGGAGACCAGCTACAGGTAGTGGTAGTATCCTCATCCCAGAACGGATAAGAGCCTATGGGAGTGGGTCAGACTATGCCAGACCCGAACCCTTGATCCTGTGTAGTGCATGGGAAACTTCTGGCACTATTTATAGATTCTGGGAAAAAAATAATGGTAGCAAAACTAAAATCCTGATTAAGCTAAATAGATGTAATCAGCCCCAAAGTAAATGTTACTAATGGCAACTGTCTCCTATGAGATGGTCCCTAGCATCAGCTCTAGAATGCACTGCCAGGCATTTGTTGAACCTCATTCAGCTGCCTACTGGTTTGGGTTCATCCACTCAGGCAACACAGTAGCTCATTACTTCATCGACTATAACGAGGGGAAGTTATTTTGAACCCCTGTCTCTAAACATAGTGTCACCACTGAGGAAAAAGCAGCTGTGCTTCGTGACGTGGTCTGTGGTGCTGTGGCATGCTGCTGTTCGCCATCTAGTGGTACTTGTCACTTCAGTCTTTTGTCCTGTTGATTTTCAGTCCCCTGACTGGGCAGGAAAATGTTTTCTGGGAGGAATCTCAAGAGGAGTTGTACATGAGCTGGGTTTCCCCAAAGAGATAGCTATAATCATGAATGAACGCACATTTACTAAGCAAGTTGGCTCATGCCCTTATGGAGACTGAGAAGTCAGACAACAAACCACCTACAAGCTGGAGCACCGAGATGCTTGTGACTCAGTCCAAGTACAAAGGTCTTAGAACCAGAGGCGCCAATGGTGGGTCTCTTGGCCTCAGGCAGAAGGCCTGGGAATTGGGAGAGGGTTGTTCCAGTGAAAACTCAACTGTGAGGAATAACTACCGACTGTTTTTGAACAAGTCTTTACTAGGAAATTCAGGATATTCTTAGAAACCCATTGTGAGAAAATACATCATCTAAAAACCCTTTGTCACCCACTGCCCTCCCTGGGGGTTTCTGACTTCAGCCACCCTTGAGGGCCAAGGAATGAGTGAAGTCACAAGGTTTGAACTTCCTCAACCCACTTAGCCAGACAGACCCTGCCCACTGATGCCACCCCCAAGCTCTGTACCTGGGCAGACTTTGCATGCTGTAAGTTCTTTCAGGAAATTCAAGGGTGGAGAGTCGGATGCTAATTAAGGACCTTCCTAGCCTCTGGCAGGATAGACACCAGTCCTGGGCACACGACACATGCTGTCAGCCTTAGCTAAAGAGAAGTTTGCATGGATGCAGGTAGCCCAGTGTTCCTGGTGTCTATTTGATGAACATTTTGGTCATTAGGAGAGTGGATCAGGAAGATGGGTGTGAACATCTCCATTAGCAAACAACAGCATTTAGTGCAAGGACAGTATGTTCCATAATCTCCAAGTCCGTATAGAGCTCTGTGGTTGCTGGGTTAACGATCTTGTTCTAGATTTGGAAAAGGGAAAGAAACGGTTAGTGCAAGTTTTCTTCAAGACAAAGCTGAGAGTGTGTCAGCTGGGCTCACCTGAGCAGACCACGGTGGGAAATTAGTATGCCTGCCGTGCATCTGCTGCTGCAAGTCTCACCCATCTCCTCCTGGCTCCTGTCCTCTTACTACGCAAGGCATCCAGGGTCCTCTCTGAGACTTTCCTCTGTTACATCTGCAAACAAACTCCATCTGTCATCGAATCCCAGAACAGCCCTGGACGACAGATGTGCTCCCACTGGCCTGATGAGAAGTGACTGTACCACAGGAGAGAGCTCTGGATGATAGATACTCTCCCATTAGCCTGGTGAGGAGTGCCTGTAGCACAGGAGAGAGCTCTGGCTGCTTTACTTTCTTACTGGGACGGGAATAAAAGTCATAACTCCCAAGAAGGTGACAACTGGCTTATTTTTACACTTGCCTTGAGCCTCTTCCACTGGCTTCTTGCTGGCTGGTGGCCTCTATCCTCACCCATCTTCCTACTCGGGAACAAGCTCACAGTTATCCTCTGAAGGCTATCCTGAGTACCTACCTGCCTCACCGCCTTCCATGGCTGTAGCTGAGAGGCCTTGGCTCAGCTCCCCTCCAGCTGGTACACTTGCTTGTCCATTCTTTTTTATCTTTCCGACCTGAGGGGTCCAGGCTGGTGATCCTCAAACCAGCAAGCCTCACAATAGCCCTCAAAGCTCTAGTCTTAGCCTTATGAAGCTCAGTGCAGTGAAGGCTTCTGGCTCCCACAGCATACATAGGCAGTGATTCTCACCTCCCTTCCTCAAGCCCAGGGGTGTTTCCTCAGTCCTCATCCTTCTGAACTTTGCCTATCAGTACACACACACACACACACCCTTCCCTCTTGAAGCATGTTCCTTAGCCACATGACTTTTAAACCATCCCCCGTAACACTTAGACGTTTACCGCATTCTAACTCATCTCCTTATTATACAGAGTTCAAGGTATTCTTGGAAACCTTCCTTGAATGCCATGCCCTGCAGTGTCCTGTCTATACACACTTCCCATCT